TGGGTAGCATTTTAGAATTATTCTTCAAACTCTTCATGAACACCAGTTGTATGCGAAAAATGAGAAATGTGACTTCTGACTGACAGAGGTGAAGTTCATTGGCCATGTGATATCAGGACAAGGAATTTCTATGGACCCTTCCAAGATCGAGACTATGCTACAGTGGGAAAGGCCAAAGAATGTAGCGGAGATTCAAAGTTTCCTTAGACTAGCAGGATACTATCAACGATTCGTAAAGGACTTCTCGATGCACTGATGACTCGGTTAACTAAGAAAGAAGTCAGATTTAAATAGGATGTTGGATGCGAATATGCTTTCCAATAGCTGAAGGTAAGGTTGACAAGTGCACCAGTCCTGATTATTCTCAATAGTGAAGAGCCATACGAGGTATATTCTAATGCCTCAGGGAGTGGACTTGGTTATGTTTTGATGTAAGGTGGACGTGTTGTAGCCTACGTATCTCGCCAACTAAGACCATATGAATAGAACTACCCCACTCATGACTTGGAATTAGCAACGGTGATATTTGCTCTAAAGATATGGAGATGCTATCTCTATGGAGCAAAGTTTCAGGTCTTCTCTGACCACAAGAGTCTGAAGTACTTGTTTACTCAGAAAGATCTGAATCTCAGACAGAGGAGATGGGTGGAATACATGGAAGATTATGATTTCACACTGTAGTATCATCCAGGGAAAGCTAATGTGGTAGCTGATGCCCTTAGCGGGAAGCCTACAGGAATTATGGCGTCATTAGCTTTGGAAGACTAGAAAAGGACTGAAGTAATAAGCGATTATAAACTTCAATACTATGAGGATTATAACTAGGCAATAGTGTATAATATGATCTCCACACCTGCCCTTGTGTAACAAGTTAAGCAGAACTAATGGCAGGATCCTCATCTCCAAGGAATCTGGATTAGAATCCAGAATGGAGAGCAGCTTGAGGATTGGAGAATCTGAGAAGATGGAGCGCTTTACTTTCACAACCGCCTAGCTGTTCCTAAGGTGGATGAGATCAATAAGGTGATATTGCATAAGGCCCATAAATTGAGGTACGCTATTCATCTGGGAAGTACCAAGATGTACCAGGATCTTAAACGATAATACTGGTGGAGAGGCATGAAGAAAGACATTCGTGAGTATGTCTCAGAATGTGTAACTTGTCTCTAGATCAAAACTGAACATTAGAAACCTGTGGGAGAGTTACAACCTTTACCTGTACCGGGATGAAAATGGGAACACATCACGATGAATTTTCTGATGAGATTTCTAAGGATTGAGCAAAAGCACGATGCCATCTGGGTGGTGGTGGACAGGTTAACGAAATCTGCGCATTTTATACCTTTTTGTGTGACTTATTCTCGGAAGATTCTGGCTGCATTATACCTGGAGCACATCATGAGACTTCACGGGGTACCGTTATCGATTACGTCTGATCGTGACACACATTTTAATGCAAGGTATTGGAAAAGTTTCCAGGAAGCCATAGGAACATAATTGAATTTCAGCACAGCATTTCATCTTCAGACTGATGGGCAATCTGAAAGAGTTATTTAGATTCTGGAGGATATGCTTCGTGCTTGTATTTAGGACTTTGGTGGAAACTGGAAGAAATATCTGCACCTTGCCGAGTTTGCTTACAACAACAACTATCAGGCCAGCATCGGCGTGGCACCGTTTGAAGCTTTCTATGGTCGTCCTTGTAGATCACCTCTGTGTTGGTTGGAACCAAAAAATTGGCTTACTACTGGACCAGAAGTGATTCAAGATAATAACAAGAAGATAGCCATGATTCAGGAACGATTGTTAACAGCTCGGAGTTGTCAAAAGAGCTATGCTGACAGAAGGTGTAGGCCTTTAGAATTCCAGGAAGGCGACTTCGTTCTGTTGAAGGTTTCTCCGCGCAAAGGAGTTGTCCATTTTGGAGTAAAAGGAAAACTTACGCCAAGATACGTTAGACCATTCCTGATCGTGCAACGAGTTTGTGTCATGGCGTATCGTCTCGCCCTACCACCTGAGTTATCTCACGTGCATGACGTGTTTCACGTCTCGATGCTTCACAAATGTCAACTTGATCCGGAAGCCGTGGTGCAATAGTATGACGTTCTGATACAGTATGACGCAATGTACGAGGAAGCGCCAGTTTAGATACTTGATCAAAAGATGAAGAGTTTGCGTCATCGTGAGATCCCGTTAGTGAAAGTGTTATGGCAGCACCATGGAGTTGAGGAAGCGACACGGGAGCTTGAAACGATGATGCAGGAGCGGTACCCGCATCTGTTTTCACTTTGAGGTGAGTCCTAATTTCGAGGACGAAATTTCTTAAGGGGGTGGAGTTGTAACACCCCGAAGAATTAAATTATATTAATTAAGGAAATTGAGAGTTATTAGTGTGCCTAATCTGGTTTAATAAATTAATTATTGATTAATAAACGTTTATGACGAGTAAATTTAAATAATTCTAATGTATTTAAATATTCTCAGTAATTATATTTTACCCAGAAGTGTGTTTGGGCACATTTTCTGGACTGTCTTTTAAATGTTTGACACCTGTCCATTTTCTTTTCTTTTCCCTTTTCTTTTTCTTTCTTTCCTTCCCTGCCCATGCAACTCTCTCTCTCTCACTCACTCTCACTCTCAACCTCACTATCTCTCTCTCTCTCCCGTTTTACCTCAAACCAACCGGATTTCAAACCAATGAGGAATTTAAAGAAGTTTTCAACATCAAGAGAAGAATTCGAGGTAAGATTTCTAAAAACCTTTCTTGAATCTCAAGTTTTTCGGATTTAAAAACTTAGTTTTGGTTTGAAATGGATTGTGATAGATTTTGAGTAAAACTATGGTAGAAATTGGAGATATTGGGTTCTTTGGACTTGATTTAGTACTTAGGACCCGGATCTAGTGGTTTTCCTTTGAGATATTTTGATTTGGAACTGAAATTGTAGGTTTTCAGACTAATTTTGGTGAGTTTTCCTCACGCTGTTGATCCCACCGGTCGACCTATCTGATTGACCAGATTCACTACATCAAGTCGACCTGTGCACTTGACCGAAGTGCACACCACCAGTCAACCGGTGGTGTTGCACTGCTCTGTCACCGGTCGACCGGTGTACACTGAGTTTGACCCTGTCTTGACCTCAGTTTTTTAAGAGAACCCAAATTAGCTTCATTTGGGGACCTAGAATGAATGGATTAGCTTCTTTAATCCATGTTTTGAGATTGAAAACCCTTGGGATGATGATTTGAAACATAAAATGGTTGTGAAACCAGTAATTGAATTATGGCACACTAATAGGAAATCTAAAAGGATATAATTGAGATTGGATTGCTTTAGGAATGAGAATTGAATCCTAAAGTGTTGTTTTGTATCAGTGCTAGCTGAGGACTCGGATTGAGGGGCTTTGAGGAAGTGAAAACCGGAATAGTGTAACGCTAGCCAGGTTTGATATTTGTGAGGTAGGATTTCTTACCCTTTTCTTTGTGGGCCTGTTTTTAAAAGAGTTTTGGCCTTACAAATGTTTTAAAGAAATGGCATGTTTGCGAAAGAAAAACATTTTAACCCCCGTGGCTTGTTGTAGTTCTGGGGAGTATAATGAATTGTTTCATAAAGTTTAATGAATGATTTCTTAAGATAAGAGATCTTGCAAATCGGTAAACTGGCTGATGGCCTAGATAGGATGTGGAGAGTGCATCCTTGGAGGCAGGACCCGAAACCCAGCCCGGGGTGATATGGCTTATGCATGTGGTTGTGTAAGTAATTTAGCATCGTATAAATTACTTGCTGATGCCTGTAGTACGGAGATTTTCAGTTCTATTTCCTTTGAGAAAAAGATGTGAGGTTCCGGCTGCTGTGTCGGAACTGAATGTCTATTTTTATTCACTTACTTATTTATTTATTTACTTATTTACAAAGTTATTTCAAAATATATCATACTCGGCCTTTCGTTCACATTTTATTGTTTTATAAATGTTAAACCCCTCCCAAGTGATTCTAGAAGCAGCGTGGAGTAGCTAAGTTGCTACCACCTGATTTGGAGAGGATTGTGATCATCCTCCCTGTGTACGAATGTAAGAATTTGTAAACTCTGATATTTAGATTTCTAAACTGTGGTTGATGTCTGTAATGTTATTTACATGTTCATGTATGTACAATACTGCATATCATGTGTGTGAAGCCCTAAACGGTGTCAGAGGCTGAGTTGTAAACCTCTTGTATTCAGTAATCTATTTTCAGTGAAATGTGGGGCTCATTTGGGAATTTTCTTAATATTTTATTCTTAATCGCGTTTAACCCCTAATCGAGCCTCCACGACACCGACCCCCGCCCAGGGGCGTGACAATAATTTCAGTCACGGGTGTTTCCATTACTTTTGTGGAATAATTATAAAAGCTCTTCCTGAATTATACCCTTTATTTTTCAGTTTTTGAAAGGTAACATCAATAAATGTTAACAAAAAAAACCCCAAAATTAAGTTTTTTTAATGAAAATTAACATATAATTTATTATGTTGATGGTATTTTGGTAGTTCTATGGTTTAAAATTTAATTTGAATTTAAAACTAATTTAAATTTAAACTTTTAATTATGATGCATTCATTATTAATTGAATATAAGTTAAAAAAATTATAAATATTTTTGGTAAAATAAAACAACTTATAAAGTTTTTTTGACATACAAAAATTTCAACCAAAAAAAAAAAACAATAAGGTTAAAGGTATAAAAAAATTTAGCACCAAAAATTTCAAAATTTATATAAATATGCATATTTCGCACCACAAAAAATTTTTTGAAGGAAAAAGGTATGTTAAATTTTGAGTTAGTCAATTAATATCAACATTAAATAAAACTATTTTTTCAGAATTAAATAAAACTGTGCGTTTAGAATAACATCCGTATTATAATTCAGATAATTATTTATAATTTATTATAATATTTTCTTCATAAAAAATATACATAAATTAAAAATTGTGAATCGCATTTCATCATTTGTTTGAATAAATCCGTTTTTCTCTAACTTTGAACGTGCTGGTGGCATTTTCTTCTTCCTCTCCGTTCTCCTTCCTCTCTCTCTATTCCTTTTTTCTGAAAACCCTAACCGCCCATATTGCCATGGGAGACTCTTCGCCTTCTCGCCGCTTTTCCGTTCATCAAGCTTTCGGTGATGGCTTTGGTAAATCTCTTTCTCTCTCTTTATATATATACATATATTCATCTATGTGCTAATCCATATACGCGTACGTATCAACATTAGATTTTTTTTTTTTTGTTATTGTCACTTAATTTACTCATCGATTTTGCTCGTCAATGACTTGTAATGTCAAATCAATCCATTTTCACTTCAACAAACGATTGACGATTTTTTTTTTTTTTTGGGCATTTTATCACTGGATTCCATGCATCCGTTCGTTAATCGCAATTTCTTTCAAGTCGTTTCTATAAAATTATGCCATAATTTGCTCTTAACATCGTAATTCGTCGTAGTAATGTGTGTAATTATTTTGATTTTTTGTCAGTGGCTGATGTTCTGCTGTGGAAGAAATGGAGTGTAGGAGTTGTATTGCTCGTCTCAGCAACGGCGTTGTGGTTCCTTTTTGAGAGAGCAGGTTACAATCCGTTATCATTTGTCTCGAATGTTCTGTTGCTGCTTGTCGTCATCCTATTTTTCTGGGCAAAATCTGCTTCCCTTTTGAACAGGTATTTGTGAGATATTTTCTGTTTTATGGTTATTATGCTATCATTATTATTAGCAACATCATCAGTTTGTTGTGTTTGCTGTTGTCTGAATTTGTACTGACCGAGATAAGTGAAGAAAAATTTATTCTTAAAAGATAATGTATCGTAGGGAAGATGGGTTGTGCTTGTGGGTCTGCTATACTTGACTGTGGAAAACATAATGTTCCTGGAGCAAATTAGAAGGCATGATTAGTCATGAATAGTATACATAGTGTTTGATGATAAAAAGTGACCATCAATTAAGTGGATTTTTGTACAGATTAAATAAATTAAAGTTTCCAAGATTGTGTTGATTTATTATGTTTTTTGGTTAAGTGAAAAATAATTCATGCTGCATCACAGACCTTTACCTCCCCTTCCTGATCTGGAAATATCTGAGGCATCCGTTATGATGGCCGCTGATGTACTGCGGGTGTGGGTTAATCGTGTAATGTCTACTGCACGAGACATTGCTATTGGTAGAAATTGGAAGCTCTTTCTCCAGGTTCATGTTACCATCTCCCTTATATTTTTCTTCCGGTGATCATGATTAATTTAGGCTCATCGAACACCTAAGTCATTGTTTTCCAGCCCAATTATTAACGTGGATCTGCAGGTTGCTTTTGGCTTATGGGTAGCATCTTACGTGGGGAGCCTCTTCAATTTCCTCACCCTTGCCTATATTGGTAAGATTTTTACAGCCAACTAATATTTGCAACCACTTTATCTTGCAAACACGAGTATGTTCACATTCTTTTTTCTGACTTTCTTGTGCAGCGGTTCTTCTCAGTCTCTCAGTTCCAGTGTTGTATGATAAGTACCAGGACCATATTGATGATAAGGTTTGCGTAACGCATAAGTTGATACAGACACAGTACCGAAAGATTGATGAAAGCCTTAGAAAGAAGATTCCTATTCCACTAAATAAGGAGAAGAAGGTCCAGTAGGTAAATAACATCTCTCTCTCTCTCTTTCTCAAAGAGAACTCCTTTGTCTGTGCATTTCATTTTTCCTCATCTCCTTATCTTAGGCTTGATAGCTGGTATTTATCATATATCTCATCTCCTTATTTTGACAGCTTGAAAATCTTTTGCCTGATACCTTGCTCGACTGTTATTAACATTGCTTATTGACTGTTTATTGTCATGTGATAATATTTTGTCGAGGTCCTACCATATTGAGGTGTATGCATGCCTACATTATTTAAATGCATCTCGATTCTTGTCTTGGTTAATCTGCTTCATGATGTTTGTCTTGGGAGCTAGGAGATCCAGGATTTCATTTGATAGATGCTGATTAACTTTTTATGGCTTTGTAGTTCTTAAGACACTTGGTGCATTGAGAATATCTACACGTACAATGGGTTTTTTATCTTAATGTGATCTCTAGTAACTTGCTTGATCTTATGTTGCATATGTTTTTTTAGGATGACTTGGCTTCTTCTAATTGTCTTTGGCTTTGTTGAGCAGCTTTCCCTTAAAAAGTTATGAATTGGAACAATCTTATGTTCTATTTATTATGTGCTTTTCATACACCAAACTAAGATGATTAAAGTTGCTGCCCAGTATTATTCTTGCAATAATAGTACGTATTTGGTTATTGGTGTGTGTAATTTGGTTTGCGTATCAAGCAGACTTGCCATACATGTCCTACTCAAATCATTGACGTGTTTTATGTGTATATACCAGTTATAGCGGCGAACATAAATGTAGAGTTTTTGTTGCGCCTAGTTTAGAATTTGAGACGTCATGTTTTAGAATGTGATGTGTGCGTCTCATGAAAGCTGAAACATGTCCAGTATAATTTTAATACATCATGATTCTGCATTATTCTAAATTTCGCGTACTGAATTTTACCTTATTTGTAATTAAAAGTATCGATCATATGAACTAGGTTTTTGAAGGTGCTAACTGGTTTATTATCCTTGGTTTGTTGCCACTTAGATGCTGAAGCACATTTTTATTTGCTGCAGGATAGTAACAAGATCGGTAATGTGATATTAGGACATTAGAGATGGGTTTTCGACGTATGAAGTATGTTCTGGTTCCGTTTTACTGGGTTGCGGCCTCATGCATTTTAAACATGCAGAGACTAGAGAGCTTGGTTATCAGGTTGACCACAATATTAACAGTTGCATCGTTTTTTTCCTTTTTCCTTGGGACTGGTGTCACTATTGAGGTTTGGTCTGGAGTTGTTGGACCTCTGGTTTTACATGTTCATTTCCATCTGTTAGAGTAGGAGCAATTAACTTGCGATTATGGAACCTAGAGTATTCAAAGTCCTTTGGTATGTACCTCTGGATTATTTTGCCTTTTGCGTGTTCTTACATGGAAGTGAACAAAGAATATTCCCAGAAGGATATTCAAAATGACATTAAAGGAATGAAAGTACTCCTTAATCTCAATTTAAAACCTGCTACTAGGGGGGCCTGAACTTCTACCAAAAGAATTCAACTATAAATTCACCTTTTTTAAGAACAAGCAAGATGGTTTAAGCAGGGACACTTATTCACCAAAAAAACAAAAAACAAAAAAACAAAATCAAAAAAAAAAAGTAAGCAGGGACACGTGAGTTTTGCAAATAGAATAAAGACAACTTTGCACAACATGTCATTGCAGTTCCCCCTAAAAAATTAATATCCCATGCCAAAATCAACAGATTCAAAAACACGTCTCCTCTGACTTGGAAAGAAACAGCTTTCTTTAACTACCCTGGGTAGCAGATTTTATGCCAGCTTGGGGATAGGAATGTTTTCTTGGGGTGGTAATGTCACTGAACGTAATAGCTCCAACGAGAAAACGAGGCCCAAGAAATGGGAGAGGATCGTATTTGCAGATGCCTACAAGGCAGAAACTCATAAGCATCATAAACATAATTGAAATTCATAAGAGCATAATGCTATAAAAAATATAGTGACTCAGGAAAATCTTGGTTGGAGCAGTGAGAATTTTGATCAAGTATTAAAATCCATGATGTTAATGTTAAGCAAAGGAAGTTTAAACAGAGTAAGAAAAGAAAAGCACCTGCACCAAGAACACATCCAACGCAAGAACAGGACTGGAACCAGGAGAGATCCCTTGGTAATATGGATTTGCTGAGGAAGTAAGAGCCTTGGCAACTAATGATCCCACTGTGGCTTGCATGCCAAGAATTGCAGCACCCATACCCAAAAGATTGAGCACAATGCCGTTTTTTAAGCTTTTCACAACGTCTGCCCGTGCGGGAGCCTGAAAATTAGAAGTATTAGTAAGCAAATGTAAGAGTTGCGAATTTTCGAAACACTTAAGGCAGAGAATTTCAGAGGTATAGCTTTGTCTTTTTGGCATTCTAACAGTCAGAACTCAGAAAATGAACTAGTCTGGTCAAGGGATAGATGATAACAGAAGCAGAGAAATAAAAGACAAACATAGAAATAAATATTGAGATGAACAGTTTAAAAGCAAAATTTAACGTAGATACTATAAACCGCTTTTATGCCCCCCTCCTATTTTATCTGTAAATCTCCACTCGTATTAGCAACTATCAAGGGTTCTACAAGTCCACAAGTTTCTAACACCATTGTATAGCATTTTTTTCTAACGATTCTGCATAATTGTTCACCATGTTATTATTTCATGCATATTTTATAGCTTTTCATGTATAAAAATTTCCCTTCACACAAACGGCCTAAAGGACAAGATCTTTATGTAGTCATGAAGCCATTCAGTGCAGTAGTACTAGCGGTCATAGGATTCAGTGGGGAAAAAGGAATTAACAATAAAAAGCATTCCATCTTCTGCAACAATCAAGCAAATGAGAAATCGAAACAACATCACAAGCAACCACACATCTAAAATTACTACTCAACACAATTTGTTTACAAATGCTTGCTTTTTAGCGCATCAACACTCACTAACACTCGCAAATGCACTATGAAGCATCATCATTAATAATCCGAGCCATCTGAAGAAGGAAACTACAATTCGTTTACAAATGCTTGATTTTTAGCGCATGAACACTCGCTAACACTCGCAAATGCACTATGAAGCATCATCATTCGACACAAATTTACAAAAATCATAGGAGTTTCAAGAAATGAAAATACCTTAGAAGGGGCATTTGCAGTTTTCCGAAGCTTCTCAGAAAGCCGGATGTAGCCAAACGACCAGAACACCGAAATGAAAGCTGCCGCAATCCCACCAGCAGTGGCATAGAAAGTAGCCGGCGAGGTTACCTTCCCCGTCACAACTACGGAGAACGAAAGAATCACAGCGGCCACTACAGTGCACACAAGCTGCCCCCAAAACCCTAAGCTCCCCAACCTCTTGAAATACCTCGAAGTGTTCTCTAATCTTTTCGCCACCTACACCGCAAACTTCTCTTCAATTCAATATGCAGCCATAATGAATCTCAACCAATCACATCCAAATTGAAGACAACAAAAACAGAAAATCAACCCCTTCTTGTTCCTATCTCCATGTTCCCATTAATTCACAGCCATTTTCCAAAACTCAAAAAAAAAAAAATCCCTTTCTATAGCTTCCTACCTCAAGCTGACTTCTTTTTATCACTATAATTACACATCAAAGATTTTAGAAAGCCCTTTGTTAAAGCATTTCAATTCAGAGTCAGTAGAATCAAGCCCAATTCAGCTACGAAATGCAAGATAAACAATTTTCGTTCAGGTTTTCATCTCAATTTTCACGGAGACCAAATGACAATGCGGATGAGTAGTGTAAGGAACAAAACCTGAGCGAGCTTGGCCTTCTCGGCTTCGTCGTTAGTGGAAGCGATAGGAGTAGACGAGGAGGAAGAGAAAGCCCTCGTATCAGCAGCAACTGGCAGCGCTATTCCTCCATTCCTCGGAGCACCAAAAGGCGAAGGAGAAGACGAACACCGAAAGGTTTTGAATTTGAAGATCGAATTCGAGGAAGAGCCTAAGATTGGACGGAAAGAGAGGCGGTGAAGATTCGGAGCGGACGGCACAGCGGCGGAAGGCGACGGCGGAGGCACCGCAGCGTACACGCCAGCGCGACCGGCCGGCAATAGAAGGGTTTGCATAGTGAAGAAAAAGAAGAAGTAGTTTGAAATGAATCGGCACTGCAGAAAAGGACTGAGGTAGAGAGGCGAGCTTCCCTATTCTAACTTCTAAGCTTTGGTCAGAAATGTCAAAGAGCCAACTTTGCTGTGCTTGAATGTGTTAAATTGTAAATCAACCGAAGATGACTGATGACTTTCTGCTGAATCTTTGTTTTGGGCTTATGGCTGACTTTTGTAAACGGGCTTTTGTTTTGGGCTTCATATGTGGTATCCTATTAAGCGCTTTTATCGCTTTGTAAATACAATTTAACTAATATAGTTATTTAATTAAAAAGATATTAATTAAAAATAAGAGGTATAAATTTATATTTATACACTTTAAGAATACGTTTAGTTATAGTGAGAGAATGAGAATAGTAATGGTAATAGAATAGAAAAAAAAAATTTAATTTATTTGTTTAGTTATAATAATATTATGGAATGGAACATAAATATTTTCATGTTGACAAAATTAACCTTTTGTTATATATAACACTAATATTTTATATATAAATATAATTAAAATAATATATAAAAGGTAATATAATATAATCTAATTTTTATTATATAATATATTACATAATTATGATATATAATATAATAATAATATTCACATTATGTAGTCTACACTATAAGAGATAATAATATTGGAATTATAAGATTATAATAACATTTAATTATATTAATTATTATACTATTATTAATATAATAAACATAATTATATTAATACAATATAATATAATTAATAAGATCATATTATATAAAAAAATAATAATATTAGAATTATTAATGTAATCATAATATTATTTGTAACAATATTACAACTATATTATATTATATCATATTATTGTATTATTATATTATATTATATTTTAATATTTGTATACATTATATTATAAGATATAATTACGTTATAATATATTATAATCTATAACAATATTATAAATTATATTATATCACATCATATTATTATATTATTATATTATTATAACTATATCATATTTTTATATTTTTATTATATATTATATTACATATTATAATATATAACAACTATATAATATATTGTAATTATATTATAATATTGAAGGGTAATTATGGAAAAAATGAAGAAAATAGCTTGGAATGACTATTTCTCTCATATGATGAAGGAATGATGATTCACCCAAAATGGGTGATGGTCATTCCATTTGAATAAGGGTTACAATTCGTGGCAACCCGTTTATTAATCGTCACCAATTCAAACACGACTTGTTTATTAAACGTGTCAAAAATGTCAATCCAAACACGACTCATTTATTAATCGTGTCATTTAAGTTAATATATTGAATAAATAACTAAATAATAATTACTTATTTACTACGATCAAGACATGTTTAACATGTTTATTAGTAAATTTTTTTAAGAAAAATAAATTAATTTTACCTACAAATATTAAAATTCACATTATTTGTATTTAATATGTTATATAAACTTTAATGTTATATAACATATCATTAGATTGCAGATTACACATATAGTTAATCGTGTCAATTCGTGTCACTTCATGTTAGAAGGTCAACCCTAACCCAACCTATTATTAATCATGTCAACCCGATTATGACCCAAACATATTTATAGTAAACCCAAACCCGCTAACTTCGTGCGGGTTTCAAGTCGTGTTGATACCCGGATTGCCAACCCTACTTTTGAATTACCATTTCTTTCTTATAAATCCAATCAAATATCATATTTGGATTTCATTTCATTCTATTCATTTCCTTTCCACCCAATCAAACGCACGCTTAGAGATATTTACTCCTTTCCTCTATCTATTGGATTATGAGTTGTCTGAAATGGTTTTACAGTTAATTACATATATTATCATTTTGCAATGGATGAAGCAAATATCACGTGATATTTGCATATAAGTTTGTAAAATAAACCGTAATGATATTGCATCCTTTATAACTATCTTTAAAATCAATTATACAAATTCATAATCACCCACGTAAAAAAGAATATATTTGGAATGATATTATATGAGTAACCATAAAATGAATAGATTACAATATTGTTGAATTAAACACATATCCAGAGTTTAAAAATGATCATTTCGTGCAATTACTTCATGGTCTTATCTTAAACCCAAATTATAACTTGTTGGACTTGGAGTGCCCACTTGAAAGGATTTTTTTAGACTTTTTTTTTAAGTAAATAACAGGGTCTAAAGGGGAAATGAGACAAATACCTCTTAAAGAAAGTGCATGAGTCTTGTTTTTTATCTCTTAATCTTTAATTACCTTTCTTAATCAAATAATTATATTAGTTAAAAATGTATTAATTAAGAATAAAAGTAAACATCTAAATCCATATACTCTATAGTAAGTCCAGCAATTATCTCTATTCTAAAATAGAGAAATTACAGTGTATAAAAGATTTCTTTAACTTGAGGTAGTAAATAACATAATTAGTTTAACTAGTTAGAAAATAGTATCGCTTAAAAATATGAATTTATTTTTCCCATTTTGCCACTATTTTAATTTAGATAAATATTAAAATTTTAAAAAGTCTGTCAAATTTAAAAATTCTAAATCCCTAAAATTCTCTCTAAGCTTAAAATCTCTTAATCTAGTAGTATTGGAAGGTTTAAGTAAAGAGTTACAGGTTGAATCCCGTTTTGTAAGTAAAAAATAAAAAAAAATAAAAAAAAAAACTCTTGCTCTATGTCCCCTCGTACTCTCTCTCTCTCTCTCTCTCCCCTCGTATCCTATCAAACCCTAGCATTTCTAGGGTCCCGTTCATTTCGCTGATTCGAGTTTATAATTCGAGTTTTGCTACAGTAAAAAGCTCTCACATAAAATCACATCTCAACTCGAATTAAAAATTCGAATCAGCGAACTAAACGAGCCTTAGATTTACGTCATGACTTCTCCTCCTAAATCACAACGAAGTAGCGCAACATCCGAGACTACGGAACTACAATCGCCAAACCATGGAGACAGGCACGGAGCCAAAGCTTATTTCCTTTTAAATTTTATATATATAATTAGATATTATATTATATTAGTATTAATAAGCTCCACTAAAATTAATAGTATCTCATTTGTAATACATTAATAAATATTTATTTTAATTAAATTTTTATTTAGTTATTAGTTCCACTGACAAAAATTTCTAGCGCTACTGGATGGAGAAAAACATCAAACGCACAAATATCAAGAAAAATCCGTTGGCAATGCTGCTAATTCATCACGGGCAAGGAAAGATATGGCGGGAGAGAGAGTGTGAGCGGAAAAGAAAAAGATAGGGAGACTCAGAAAGATTTTTTTAACTTTAGGTTGGTATTATGATTATGTTAAAATGCTTAATTTATACAAATATGCTATTTACTAAATTTTATTTTAAAATCTTCCATTAATTTTAATTAGCCCTCACAAAATTGCTATTAGCCTCATTCTTCCTTTCAAATATTTAAAGTAAATAACATATTTGCTGATAAATAATTTATTTAAATAAAATATTTAGGTTATAAAGGATTAAGAAATTATTTATTGGTAAATATGCTGTTCACTTCAAATATTTTAAAACGTCTTATTTACTCGAAGCAAGTTTCTGAATTTGAAAAAGCTATTTTAATTTCATCAACTGGACAGAAAAAATTAAAAAGACAAAATTGTCCTTACTTAGCTTTTTTAATTATTTAAAAAAACATTAAAACCCCGTAAAAAATAATATTATCCAAAAAATATTAAATCTGGAGTTTCATGTTTTTTAAATATTGAAAATTTATTTTTCAAAATTTTTCTGAAAAAATTATTCAGAAGTAAGTCCGGTCTAATTAGGGGAATATTTATCTCTTCCTCTTGTTTTTCCATATTCTACAAAATACGTGAAGAATGGAATTGAAATAAGTTTTTAAATTTTAAAGATGGTTTTGTAGTTTGTGAAAATATAAAGATAAATTGTGAATATAATTAAGAGTAGGAAATATATCCATATAATTGCCCCAAACAAAATAAAATGGAGATGAATCCGTCAATCATATAAATAAGAGTATGTCCATTTGACTTAAGTCATGACTTGAGTTATGTATGTGAGAGAAAAATATTATAGTAAAAAAATTAAATTTAAATTTTTATGAGAAAATATTATAATAATTTAACTTGAGTCATGAAAATGAATAAGGCATGTATTTCTTTAGTATTCTTTACCTGTAGAGTTCACGAGACTGCAGACAAATTTAAACTAGCTTAATCACGGGCGTACAGTAAAAGGAAAATTGATTGTGCGTCCGTGTTATATGTGTCCAAAACTCTTTGACATGATACCAGCAGCCAAATGTGTGTACCTATAATATCGATGACTTTTCTTGTAAGAAATGGTTTACTTTGCAACTGATGCATGTTAGTCTGCACTCAAGTGAGATTTGGAACTAAGAAGAAATCTCATTAAAATAACTTAATTATAAAGTTGATCTTTTGATGGATTTATCTCAAGTGATGTAGGGAGATTTGAGTATTAACAGTCGTTTTTATATTTTATTGTAGTTTGTTATAGTTTTCTAACTTAGTTTAGTTTTGTTATTATTACGTTGTTTATCTTAATTGTTATTTTGTTATCATTTTCTAAATAATCTATAAATAGCCACTTAATTACTGTATTAAGAAGACTTTGAATATTTTAATAATTAAATACAAAAGTTGTATTTTCTCTCCAATTTAGTAATTTTTCCATTTGAGAGATTTCTTTTAAGTAGATTGGGATTGCATCTCCCGTTTCCAATCCGGATTAGGCCAGTAGAACTCTTTCTATCCTCTCCGCTGCACCATCAAGTCTCTCCAACAAGGACTTAGTTTGGTATTGCCGTAGATTTTTAAAAAATTACTTTTAGTTGTGCTGAAAGAAAAAGCATATGTTACAAAAAACAGCTAAATGTTTGGTAAACTACAATTATAGTTGTTGTATTGGTTTCAAAATCAGTATAATAACATTTGGTAAATTATGAGGTTAAATTGATGTGGATAGTTAAAAATTACAACTATATTATATTATACTATAATATAATATGTATAATTAAAATATAATATATATTTTTATTAAAATAGTTAATATAATTACAATATT